GCGCACTTGCCTCCCATACTGCCAAAAACTCCGATGCTCCCCCATTCCAGAAGAACGAATTCCACCTCTGGCGAAGTGCGAACTGCGTCGCTGGGAGCCAATTGGTGCCGCAATTCACCCGCAGAAAGAAAATAATAGCCCATATCGTTCCACATGATGTCATAGATGTCGTCCAAAGTTCGTCCGTTGCGCTTCCGTGCGCTCTCTTCGATGACAGACCCGTCAACGACTGTGTCTTTAACCACTAAGAGGTCAGAGGGGGGCCCCGTTGAGAATTTTGGCCGGTCCCTTTGCCTCTGTTTCCTACTCCTTCTCCACCTCCTCCGCACCTGCACAATTCCTGTGAGAAGCAACAATTCTAGTACTTCAACGAATTCTCCAGTGGACATCCCTTCGTGATTCCTTCGTGGGTCGCTGAAAAATTTGAGAATCCCAGGAGCGTAGCGACCTCAGGGTCATCATTGCGGAGCATGGGTTTTCGAAGTTCGTCATCGGCACCAGTCGGTGGCCTCTGAACCTCGGGGCCTCCATCTTCCCAGACCTCCTTCGCTCTCAGGAGGAGGAGCATGCGTTTTCGAACTTCGTCATCGGCACCAGTCGGTGGCCTCTGAAGCTCGGGGCCTCCATCTTCCCAGACCTCCTTCGCTCTCAGGAGGAGGAGGACGACGAGGAAGAGGAGGAGGAGGACCAACGTCACAGCGTCACGCTCAGGTTGGCCTAACGTAAAAAAAGGAGGGGGAGGAGAAGGAGTAGGAGTAGGAGTAGGAGGAGGAGGAGGAGGAGGAGGAGGAGGAGGAGGAGGAACAAAAGGAGGGGGTGAGCTGCTCGTTCGTGGGTCCTCTCTGGAGCCACCCGCCCCTCTCCCCTCTCGTGCACCGATGGTGCGTCGAACAGGCCATCGGCCTGAGTCGAGTTTGGACCAGAATTGGGCAGAACTTGGTTCGAACTGGGGCCAGACTGCACCAGAACCTACCAACAAGAAAACTAGACTTCCTCCGAAGAACACGGACTCCAAAAGTCTTCCTGCCTCAATCAATGGTCTGGCCTAGGCATCCACCGTAATGCCGCGTCCACTTACTTGAACGAGTGAACGCCAAAGGTGTCCGTCTTCCGATAGCGACGCCCCTCGGAAGAACACCACACTCATATCAGTCTCGCGAGCCAAGCTTCATTTGAGTATGCTAAAAAGTATGCGCGCCAGAGAAAACACACAAACGAAGAGCGCAAGGATGCAGTTACAGCGCGCCCCCGCAAGCATATTATGGCAAAAGTGTGAGCGCGTTCGCGCCGTGCAACAGCACTCCTCCCCATTCCCTCCTACCTGTTCAGCGTCCCTTCCACATACTACGTGCTTGCTTCTGCGTTGCCTCCCATGCTGCCCATCTTCCCGCTGGCTGGCCAGCGCTCGGGCCGCTCTCGCCTCGCGCTCGGGCAGGCGAGCAGGGTCGAGCGTCGCGTCGCCCCCCACCCCGCCCACGCCCCGAAGGGGCGGGGAGAGAGAGAGAGAGAGAGAGAAGGAGTGTGAACTGTACATGCATATATACATATGTGGGAGGGACACGCACCGAGAGAGAGAGAGAGAGAGAGAGAGAAAGAGAGAAACGACAACGGGAGGAAGGAAGACAGAGAGAGAAGCAGGAAGCAAAACTAATGAGGGAGAGGGAGAAAGAGAGAGAGAGAGAGAGAAAAAAAAAAAAGGCAAGAGAGAGAGAGAGAGATATAGACGAGAGAAGGACAGAGCGAGAAAGAAAGAGAAATATAAGAAGAGAGAGAGAGAGATATACATAACAATATGTTTTTTACTGTAGGCGACTGCGCAGGCAAGCTTCCGCAGACAAAGAGGTACATAACAATAAAGAGAGAGCGGGAGAGAGAGGGAGAAACGAAAGGGACACACAACTAAGACAGAGATAGAGACATAGAGAAAGAGACAGAGAGAGAGAGAGAGCGAGAGAGAGCGGGAGAAACTAGATACACATTGTACATCTAGACTGAGAAACGGAACAACTAAATGTAGGCGGAGGGAGAGAGAGAGAGAGAGGATAGAGACTAGAAAGGAATATAGAGAGAGAAATATTGGAGGAGAGGGAGAGAGAGCTAAGCATGGAGAACGAGAAAGAGAGAGAGAGAGAGATGGAGAGAACGAAATGTATACGAGCCTACCAAAACACCATTGCGCCTCGAGCCCTTGTGCCTCTGCCGGCCGGTGCCGAGCGCCCTCCGGCCGTGCCTGTCGAGCGGAAGCGGTCGCGCTCGGAGCGTTCTGCGTGGGGGTGGCGAGGGCGCGGGCTGGACGCGAGCGAGGTGATCTGGCGGACTTCTCGTAGCGCTGCTAGTCGGCCGCGCAGGCCGGGCAAGAGCTAAATCATATCTGTTTTCCTCCATGGTCCTCCATGGTAGCGATGGGATCGGCTCTTGTTCTTGTGCTCAGTTGGTACAGGCCCTCTGGCGGGCAGCAGCCTTGAGCCAAGTAGCAACGGTAGCTTGGCCCGTCGGGCGGAGGTGATCTGGCGGATTTCGGGAACCCTGGACCCCAAAACCTTGTTCATCTCTTGGGGGCGCATGTTGTTCACTTCCGCCAACTTCCGCCGCCCTTCCGCCGCCGGCTTCCGCCCGCGGACGCGGCCTCGTTTTACTTCCGCCGCCCTTCCGCCGCGGAAGAAACGGAAACTCTTTCTACCCTCGAAGGCAAGGCACACTCTGGAACACCTCATCTGGTGGGGGGGGGGCAGGAAGCGGGCGACGGCACAGCTTAGCGCGGGCAGGGTGGGCGGGCCTGCAGCAGCGCCTCCTGCCTCCTCCGGCCGCGCCGGCACAGCACACTGCGAAGTGGACGCCGGCGTGGAGTCCAGGAAAGAAGACGCTGTGGACAGGAGGGCGGGCGATGGCCGCACAAGGCGGAGGGGGCGCGGGGCTGGCCAGGCAGCGCGGGAAGCGGCCCAAGGCGGCCTCGGCAGCCGAGCGGCCGCGCACGCGCGTGCTCCCCGCCTGTAGCGCGACGATGGCCGCCCGCCCGCAGCTGCCACTGAGCGCGGGGGCAGTCAGCCGCGGGCTGTTTCTGGCGCGATGTTGTAACAGACGGGGGAAGAGGTGTGAGGGAGATCGGGGATCTACCGACCGGGGTCAATCCAGACCCAGATCAGTCAGGCACCGCAGGATCCTGCAGGATCCTACGCCCAAGCCCACGTCAGGGCGACCCTGGCTCTGCAGGATCCTGCAAGATCAGGCGCTCTGACTGGCCCCCGTTTGCATTGACCCCAGTCTCTTGAACCTCGAGGGGACAGCGCAGGCGACCGACCGGTGACAAACTCGGACGGGGGAGTCGGCGTGCATCCCTGCGGCATGAGTGTCCTCACCCTCCTCCTCCCGAGCGAAACTAAACCGCAGACGCCAAGCAGGGATGAACAGGGGGATGGAACCTGTGCGCGCATACGCCCCATGGGACTCCCCAAGATCCCCAAATGGCGCTCGCACAATTTCCGTCGCGAGCAGAAACACGGAAACGCAAAAAGGGAATCATAGGGAGAAGTGCAGAGTGAGAGGAGGCGGCGTAGTGGAGAAGCAAACAGGCGAATGCAAAACCAAAACAATACAAAACAACAAATAGCAAACAAACACGCGTGCGTAACCAGGGGTGGCACTCGCAAAAATGCCCTCCACACGAGCCGGGAGCGGAAGACCCACAGCAAAGCCTCATGCCAAGGCAGAGGGGCTACGCCAAGCGCGCGCGCAAACAATGCTACAAGCAGGTTTCGAACACGTCATGAAGCCTGAGATGGAGTTGAGACGCGAAGACAGGCAGACAGGGGGAATGAGCGGACAGGATGGAAAGGAGAGGGGAAGAAGAAAAGGAAGGACGAGGAGCTGCGCCGAAACGATGAGGCGATCAGCCCGGACCTGCCTGGAGGCCCACCGCGGACTTCCTGGCAAGATGGCGCCAAGCGCCCGGCAAGTACACGTGGCGGAACGCCGACGCCGCCCGCGCGGAAACGAGGGGCAATGCCCAATAATGCGAAAACAAACGAGGGGTGGCGGTATCGGTACATGGCGGACGCGGCCGCAAGAAAACCTCGCAAAAGAAAACATGAATACCGCGCGCGCGAGATGCACGCGGGCAGGGGAACCCAGAGCATTTAAACGTAGCAGCTTCTGCAGTAGCCGCTGGAGGTCACCGCGCAACGCGGGGAGGTCACCGCGCAACGCGGACCGAAGAAACGCATGATATCCAAACGGAAAGCATCGCATTGTCTCTTGCTGCGCCTCCCCACTGCACCTTTTCCCTCTTCTGAACTCCCCTCAGGACCCGCTCGCTTCACGGCGAGAGGAAGGGCAGCTCCTTGGGCGCTGGTATGGGAGGCAGGCACGCCCAGCCCGCGCCAACGGCATCCAGGTCCAGCACCTGGTCGGCAGGGCGCTCTTCCTGCGCCCATCCTGCCTCTGGCCCGCCCCCGCCTCCCTGCGGAGGAGGTGGAGGAGAAGCAGGAGGAAGAGAAGAAGGAGGAGCAGGAGCAAGCTAAGCGAAGCAGGAGGAAGAGGAGGAGGAAGAGGAGGAGGAAGAGGAGGAGGAGGAGCAGGAGGAGAAAGAAAAGGAGGATAATAGAGGAGGGGGAGGAACAGAGGAGACGGAGGAGGTGGAGGAGAAGGAATAGAGACACTTCGAAGGAACTTCCCGAGGCGACTGGGGTCGCGGGGGGGGGGGGGAGCGGGGGGGGCGAAAGAGGGGCCCACTGCCCGCGGCCGCACGGGGCGCGGGCTCCTTGGCCCCTGGCAAGTGGGGCGCCACCCCCAGGTGGGCGAGGAGCGGCGCCGCCGTCGGCGGGCGGCTCCCTGCCGCGTCCGCGCGGCCGCCCTCGCCCGCAGGCGTCGCGGCCCCACGGGCGGCCCTCGCGCTCGGCCTCTGGCCACGCTTTTGGGTTTGCCAGCTTTTTCAGCAGGCTCCCCAGGATGTGCGGCATTCGGCGGCGCCCTCTGCTTGCCGGGCCTCTTCGGCCCAGGGTGCCTCCTGAGTGAACGGTGCAGAAGGAGCCACACCCTGGGCCGACTCGCCTCCTAGGCTTCTCGCGCGTTCCTTCCTGGAGTTTCTCGCACCCGCTCCCTCCTGGAGTTTCTCGCACTTCTTGCTGCCACTGCCCGTCCGCCTCGTCGCGCTGCGTCGCGAGAAAGACCGTCTCGCCCTATACGAAAAATGCCCTACTGAAGCGGTGGGAGCCCATGTGCCGTCCGACTGGCTTTAAGTCGACACCGTCGCGCTCGAGCTGAACCACCACGTCGCCTATGTGCACCCCGTCCTCGCCGCATAGCCCGGTGGGCCAGCCCTCGACTGCTTGCTCGGTACCAGCGCTGTACCTGATGGTGTCTGGCTCTGTCGCTTTCTCCCACTTGTCGCACGCGCTGTTCCCATTGTGGTTGCAGTAGCTGGGCGCCAGCTTCGCCTCCTGCCCGTTCTTCTCACGCGAGCTCTCCTCGCAACTCTGTCTCTGCCCGGCCTCCTCGCCACCACCTGGCCCGTCCGCTCGATGCTGGCACTGCCTGCCCGCAAGCGGCTGCCACTGCCCGTCCTTCTCGCTCGCGGGGTCGTGGCCCCATTGAAGCTGCCACTGCCCGCCTTTCTCGCACGCGCAGGGTCCGTCTTCTTGAAGCTGCCACTGCCCGTCCGCACGATGCTGCCACTGCCCGTCCGCTCTAGGCTGCCACTGCCCGTCCGCTTGAGGCTGCCACTGCCCGTCCGCTTGTGGTTGCCACTGCCCGTCCACTTCGCACGTGACGTCGTCGCCCCCTCGGTGTTGCCACTACCCGTTCTTCTCGCACACCCTGATCCCAGCGCTGTAGCTGATGGTGTTTGGCTCGATCGTAGCCTCCCACTTCTCGCACTCGCAGTTCCCAGTAATGTTGCTAGAGTAATTGGGCTCCAGCTTTGCCTCTTGTCCGCTCTTCTCACACGAGCTCCCCGCACGACGCTGCCACTGCCCGGCCTCCTCGCAGCCACTTGGCCCGTCATGTTCGTCCTGATCCCAGCGCTGGTGTTGATAACGTTGGGCTCGACCTTCGCCTTCCTCTCGCTTGCGCTCACGGCAACTGCGTGCCGCCTCCGCGTCGTAGCTGATGGCGTCTGGAAGTTGCCACTGCCCGCCACTCTCGCACGCACAGTCTCCGCACTCCCGATGCTGCCACTGCCCGTCCTTCCGCTGCCCGTCAGCGTAGTCCTGGATCCACTGTAGGCCCCGCCGCGGCTCTTTAGCTGCCTTCCATTCCTCGCACGCTCCGATCACGGCGCTGTAGCGGATGGCGTAGGGCTCTACCCTCGCCTCCCACTTATCGCCTGCTTGAGGCTGCCACTGCCCGCTGAATAGCCAGCCGAAGTCCAGTTCCGTCTGCCTGCACGTTGGCACGCGGGCCCGGCCGCGCCCGCTGCGGGGCGAAACGGCTGCGCGGGGCCTCGCTGGGGAGCCACCGAAGGAAAAGGTATAGAGGAGGGGGAGGAGCAGGAGGAGGAGGAGGAGGAGGAGGAGCAGGAGGAGGAGGAGGAGGAGGTTGAAGGAGGAGGCGGAGGAGGAGAAAGGCAGGAGAAAAAAGGGGGGGAGGACAGGAGGCGACAGCGCAGCCAGGGGGGGGGGGGGGCGAGGGCGACCACGAGGGCGAGGAGGAATCCAGCACCTGGCCGGCGGCACCACCTCCCCGAGGGCCCCCTCGGGCTTTACAGACCCCCCCCGCGCGCTGGGGAACCCGCAGACAGATGCACGCGCACAGCCGTGCACATGGGCGTTTCCTGAAACCTTGAAGCCAACAAGGTTTTCATCTCTCGGGGGCGCATCTTTTACTTCCGCCACCTTCCGCCGCCCTTCCGACGGCTTCCGCCGGCGGCGGCGGCGGCCTCAGTTCACTTCCGCTGCCCTTCCGCCGCCTTCCGCGGCGGAAAAGATGACAACTCCTTCGATCCTCGAAGGCGAGGCCATTTTTCGAGCGCCGCACATGAGCATGGGCCCCCCAGTCCGCGAGGCCAGTCGTGTTACGAACGCTCGCGCCACGCATAAACCCTCGAGACCCACGAAGACGTATGTCCTCGGCCACCACGCCTCGGCGCGATGCGCTGTCCACCTCGCGGTCCCCAAGCGTCCACGCCCCGAGCCTCTCCGAGCCTCTCCGAGCATCCCGCCCCGCGGAACGGAGCGACACGCCGTCAGCTCGCAGGGCATGGTGTGTCGCTGGGGCCGCCGCCGCGACACGCCAAGCAACAGTTTTTTTCCGTCCGTATGGTACGCCTGCTTGTCGCTCTTGAGCCGCGCGCCCCGCCTGGAGCGGGCGACGGCTCCGCGGAGGGCCGCCGCCGAAGTCGCTCGCCGCTGGCAGCCCGCCGGCGGTCGGACGCGCCCGCGGCGGGCTCCTGCCGAGGTTTCCCGCTGCCGCTTGGGGCGCGCCCGCTGCCGCGGCCCGGGGCGTGCCCAGGGGTACGCGGCACCGCTCACCGCCGTGGCGCGCGGGGCGCGGGCGCCCGAGGACGGCGGCAAAGACATCAAAGAGGTCCTCCTCACGCAAACGTGGCCCGCACCAAAGCTCACTCCTGCGAAGGGTCGCTCTTACGCGTGGCCGACGAGGGAACGAGGGCGAGCCCAGCACCCTGCCAGTAGCGCTCTCCCTGCGCCAAGCGCCGCCTCCCGCAAGAGCGCGCGGCCGTGCCCTCCGCCCACAGCGGCCGGCGGCGGGCCGCCACCAGTCGCCGCCGGCAGCCTGCCCAGCGAGCCGTGGGGCTCTCGCTCGCCGAAGCGCGCCGCTGCCGCAGTGCGCGCCCGCCTGCCGCGGCCCAGGGCGGGCTCTGGGTTCACGCGGCAGCGCACGCGCTGTGCGCGCGGGGCGCGGACGTCCGACGCCAGCGGCGCCCCGAAGCGAATCGACTTCGCAAGGATGCACAACCGCGCCATGCAAACATCGGGCCGCATCGTCTCGGGACACCGGAATCGAATAGGATCGAGCCGGCGGGATCCGACATCGAATCGGACCCATCCGATCGAGCCAGACCCCGAGGGGGCGACGGCGGCGAGCGCGAGGGCTTCCCGCCCCATTGATGCGGTACTGGTACTGCGCGCTGTGCGCGCGGGGGTGGACGCCTGGCGCCTGCGGAGGGCCGCATGGGGCGAGGGCGGCGAGGCCCCGCGGATGCCCCAGCTCTGGTTGGAGCTGGCTGTGCTCCCTCGGCCCTCGGGGCGCCGACCGCAGCAGCCCCGAGCCGCCTCCATGCCCCCCGGCACGCTGAGGCCTAAAGCCAAAAGCTCTATGGTAGGATTTCCGCAAGTCTTCGGAGGGCCCTCCCCCTTGTCATCATGCTCAATCGCGTGCACCGACCCTCCCCTTGGGCTGCCTGACGCTTCCCGAGGGTCTCCAAGGCTATTCAAGGCTGCACAGACGGCCCAAGGAGGCCACACATGCCGCAAAGATAGCCCAAACAGCGCCCCAAGAGGAAGCGACAAACCGCCCCGCCCACTAATCCACCCACCCACCCACCCACCCACCCACACAAACAAACAAACAAACAAGCAAACAAACAAACAAACAACACCCACGCGCCGAAGAGCGCTGCGCTTCCTTTTCGCCGGCACGGCGCTGCCGGGGACCTGCCGCGAACACTTCCACCACCCCTTGCCGCGCCTGGACAGCGCCCCGAGAGTACGGCCAGAGCGTGCTACCACGCCGTCGGGGGATTTGGTTTGGCGTGTCGCCGCGGCGGCCCCAGCGACGCACTCTGCCAATTTGAGCGGATAGCACGTCGTTCCGCTCCGCGGGGCGGGACGATGGGAAAAACTCGGGACGCTGCCGCCGAGGAAATGGGACGTGGACAGCGTGCCGCGCCGAAACGCGGTGGGCGAGAACCGGCGGCGCGACGCGCTGAGCCAAAACTCTTGACCGTCAGGAGCGCTGACTGAAGAACGAAGGGGCTTTCTGGCCATGGCGAGCCTCGACCACGGACGGGACCCTCGACCCAGATCTGAGGAAAGGGCCCGCAAACCAGGCCCCCTCCTGAGCCCCGAAAGTTGTCCCAATGTGAGCTTTGTGGCTGCAGTGTCGGCTTGCGATCAACAAAACAGCGGGGCGCCTGATTGAAACATGGTGCCCCTGCTCGGGCGAATCGCGTGGGGGTGGGGGGGGGGGGCCCGCCAACAAATAGAAACACGCAGCGGCGGCCACGGTGATTATCGCCGACGCCCGGCCGACAGGAGGACTACAGGTGCGACGCAAGCGGCGCCGCTTCAGCGGGGGAGGATATCAGCGCCTCCAACATAGCGGGGCGCGTGGGCCAAAATGACCACAGACAGGAGAGACAGATGAGGCGGGGGAAAGAGGCGCCTCAGCTGGCGGGCGGTGCCGACATGGCTACAAACCAAAAAAGGGAAAGGTGGGGAAGCAGGCGGAAAGGGTTCCTTCTTTTCCTTCTCCGCCCAGTCCCCTCCACTACAAAATCCCACGACGGCGACAACGGCGGCGGTGGACGACAACGCGCTGCGGATGCCTCATAAGGGAGGGGGGCGCGAGGCCTGAATATGCCAGCTGTGCTAGACGACGACGACGTTTCGTTTCGTTTCGTTTCGTTTCTTTTCGTAAGCGTCTTGCAATGGCGGCTCCTGGCCCCGACGCTGCTGAGCTGATCTGCTTACTAGGCGGCAGCCTAGATTATCTCTAAGTTTGGCGCCATTCAAGCCACGCGCGCTGTCCGTCAACCCACGACTGCTTAGAGTATGGTTTGGCGAGCCAGTCGAAACCAAAAACCTGATATTGCCACGAACCCCGACCTGAAAATGGAGGTGGGGATGATTGGTGAGAGCGGCAGGGACAAGGACGGAGTGGCCTGTTGTGGGCTTGATTAGACGACGGGGAAGACGTCCGACGAAGAAATATGTATAATCGTGGTTGGTCTCTCGGGGGCTTCTGGGAGACTGTTTTGAGGCCTCTTGGGGACAGTTTTGGGGCATCATTTGGTCTTTTTGGACGCCTAATTTGGGGCTCTTGGGGGCCTCTTGGGCGCTTCTTGGGCTCTCTTGAGGGCCTCTTGGGGCCTCCTGGGGCTCTCTTCAGGCAGAAGGCTCGAATTTACGGTTCGTGGTCCCGCTCTTGGGCCCCTCTTGGGGCCGTCTTGGGGCCTCTTGGACCGTCTTGGGCGCTTCTTGGGCCGTCTTGGGGCCCTCTTGGGCAGTCTCGGGGCCCTCTTGGGCCGTCTTGGGGCAGTCTTGAAAGCTTCTTGGGCCGTCTTGGAGCGTCGGAAAGCCGAAGACGCGCGAAGTCCAAAATCCTTCAGGAACCCTCGTAAAGTTATTGATGTTCACCTCATTGGGCTCTCTTGGGCGGCTGATTGGAGGCCTCTTGGGGCGTCTTGGCGGCCTCTTGGGCCATCTTGGGCCCATCTTGGGCTGTCTTGACCACTCAGTCGGCGACTCGTTACCCTCTTGGGTCATCTTGCGGACTCTCTTGGAGCTGCCCGTGCCTCCCGGAAGCGCGTCTGCAGAAATACGGCCGTCTTCCGCCGGCGTTCTGCGCGTGTCCGGGGCCCTGTCCAGGGGGGTCCCCCCCAGACCCTCCCAGGGGGATACTAAACGGGAACCCCTCCGCCAGGTCGGGAAAAAACAGGGGGCGGAAGAAATGATGATGCGTCTTGGAGGCGAGCTCAGCACGCTACCATGCGAGTTACGAGGTGAGCTCAGCACGCTTCCATTCGAGCCACCGGGAGGAGGGGTGTCGCGGGTTGACATGGCGAGGGAGGAGTGGGAGTTGGAGGACTCTTGAGGCTCTGGAGGCTCCTGGGGGGAGCCAAGATTGGACAAGTTGCGTGAGCTCAGCACGTCTCCATGCGAGCCACAGCGAAGGGGGGGCGCGGGTTCACAGGATCGGCCGACTTGCGGCTTTCGGGGGCCGTATGCGGCCGTGTTGAGGCCTCCGGGGGATTTCCTGGGGAGCGATGTGGGGATCTGAAAGGTCGCTTGGGGTTCCTGTCCCAAAGATGTTCAGAGAGAAAGGTGGCGGAAGAAACGACTGTGCGTCTTGGAGGTGAGCGCAACACGCGACCATGCAAGTCCGGAGGCGAGCTCAGTACGTTTCCATGCGAGACCAGCAGAGGATGGGTTCCCGTGTTGTCCGTTTGCCGCTGTGACGCTGTGTCGGTGGGGCTTTGTTGGGGCAGACCTGGGGGCCTCTTGGGCGCTCCTGGGGGCTTCCTGGAGGCCTCTTGAGGCTTCGTGGGGCTCCTTGGGGGCCTCTTGGGCGCCTCTTGGGGCCTCTTGAAGGTTCCTGGGGCGGAGAACCCTGAAAATGGGCCGCTGCCTCCGCTCCGGGGGCGCTCTTGGGGCGTCCCTGGGGCTCTTCTGAGACCGTCTTGGAGGCCTCTTGGGTCGGCTTGAGGGCCTATTCGGCCGTCTGGGCGCTCTCTGGGGGGTCTCTGAGGGCGTCTTGGGGCGATCTTTGGGGCCTCTTGGGCTGTCTTGGAAAGGCGGGGAGCCGAAAAGACGAAAACCCCAGAAACCTTCAAATACCTAAGGAAAAGCTACGATTTTGGACGCTACGGGCTCTCCTGAAGGGCCTGTTTGAGGCCTCTCGTGGCGTCTGTGGGGCTCCCCTGGGTCGTCGGGGCGCCATCCTGGGCGTCTTGTGCCGCTGTTTCGGCGACTGGAAGCCTTCTTGGTCCATCTTGTGGGCCATCTTGGGGCCGTCCGTGCCTCGTGGAAGAGCGTCTGCAGAAATCGGGCCGTGAGCGGCCGTCGAGCGGCCGTCTTCCGCCGACTTCCGCCGACTTCCGCCGGCGTTCCGCCAGTGGCCAGGGCCATGCCCCGGGGGGTCCCCCCCCAGACCCCCCCAGGGGGACACTAAACGGGAACCCCTCCGCCAGGTCGGGGAAAAATATAGAAATCTCTTTCCCAGCGCCATATTCCTACAGTGCGGTGGTGCAGCTGGGGTCCCGAGGAGCGTTGCATGGCCGTCATCCAGGATCTGTCCCGATATCTAAGTACACGATACGCTATGCGGTCGGGGCTGGACTGTGCCATCCCCTGGAGGTGGCCCGCCCAAGCATGGGACAGGCGTCTGCACGTTTGCGTCCACGGTTCGATATCATATCTAATGCGAGTGGCAGCTACTTGCGACATGGCATTCTTCATATATTCGGCGGCAGTGTCGGCTGTGGGTGGGCGAACGATTCGCCTCAGCATAGTATTGTGACATTTGGAGAGGCGGCTGAGCCCTGAGACCGACAGACGCAGGCTCCCGATGCAATAAGTGAGCGCGGGGCGGGCGCATCGGTCTAGGGCTTTCAGTCGCTTGCTGAAGCTAATTTTGGGATTAGCAAGCATATTCTTGTGTGCGGCCCAAGTGCGCCACGCACGTTGGATCCTATTGCCTACCTCCGCCGTGCAGCTCCTGTCGAAGGCAATGTACGTTCCTAGAACCTTGAGGCCGTCCGCTCTTTCGCGGCAGGGGATCAAGGTGCCTCTGACGCGAAGCGTGCCGATATAAGTGGGATACGCATGGCACCACTCCATTTCGTTGACGGGAACCTCAAGGCCGCTTTCGTTTAAAATGCGGAGCCAGGCCTCGGTCATGTCAGCGGCCATCGAGGCCGAACGCGCTAAAATCCAAAAGCTGCTGGCAAAACTTCAAATCCCTAGGATCAGATCCTCCTCCCCTGGCGTCGTGAGACAGAGCCCCCAGCCATTTGTTCGGCAGAGGTCTTGGAATTCGCGGAGGTCCGCGCCCAGAAAAAACGTTGCTCAACTCGGGCGCCGCGGGTCCCCCTGGATCAGGCTCCTTTCCCGACGGGCGCGCTTGGTGAGGGGTTGCCAGGCAGACGGATGCGAGCGGCAGAATTGCGGGTCTCCCTAATCCAAAAACTGCTAGCAACACGGGACACTCCATGCTCATCTAAACGTTTTGCCAGGAGGGGGTGTCGAAAATAGTCATAAAACTTGCGGATGTCTCCCCCGACGACAACCAGGGGTGGATCGCGGCATTCACCAAACTTATCAACAAGTTGGCGAAGGCTATCTATAATCTCCCGCGCTTGGCAACTACGGCGGAACGCGAACTGGCACTCAGAACGATCGGCCTCCAGGATGGGACGTTGGACCTCCAGGACCATCATCGACAGGATTTTCAGCAACACCGACACCAAGGCGATGGGTCTGAACTCGGCCACCTTCTGGGCCTCAGGTTTCTGTCGGATCAACTGGACAACGTGCTCCGCCCAGGCCTGGTCGAAGTACTCGCTCACATGGTTGCAGAGTCTCAGGCGAAACGCTGCGAGAAACTGTTCGAGCACATCGTCCTGGAGCCCCTGGATCATCTCAGCCACGATCATGTCAGACTCGGCGCGCGATTTGCTACTCTGCAATTGACCGATGACTGTTTTGAGCAGAGTGAGGGAGAGGGGGGGCCTCCGCCTGTTGGTGCTCGGCTGTCCACTGGCAGTGCACCCAGGCGGGCAGGGCCTGGTCGCTGGTCGGATCAGCGAACAGGTCGGCGTAGAAGGCGCGGGTCAGCTCGCAGCGGGCCTGCGCGGTGTTGGCGCTCCGACCCTCTTCCGTCGTCAGCTCGCAGACAGGCTTGCCAGAGCGATATGGTCTGTCGGCCCGCCCCCTCGCGCACAAGCGCTCCAGGTGAACCGCGTTGCAGCGGTCCCTCGGGGCGCGCATGGCCTTGGCCACCGTAGGCCCCAGCAGGTGCCGCACGCGCAAGTCCGTCTCCTGCGCGCGCAGCTGCTCCAGGCGCTTCAGGTGGAGGAGCTCAGGGCCCCCCTGCGGGGGTCGCCAGCGCCCACGCCGAGGGGCGTGGCCGGCCGCGGCTGCACCAGCGGAGACCGCCCACGCCAGCGCGGAGATGGACGGGGCGCCCTGTCTGGAGCACGCGGCCAGACGCGGCTGCGGGTTGAAGAGCTGCGCGAAGGTTTTGCCGCCATCCTCCCTGGCTATCTCGGAGCAGCGTCGTTTGCGTGCTCTAGTCTCGGCAAGCTTATGTTCACTAACCCGTCGTCGACACTCTTCGGCCCCCCAATCATGGGCAGGGTAGGGCCGTCTCCAGCGGGCACTGTCGAAGCGCTTTGTCCGCGCCCCGTTTCGCCCAGAAGTCAGCCTTCTCGTTGCCCAGGTTGCCGCTGTGGCCCTTGACCCAGCGGATGTGCACATCAAAGTGCAAGGCGGCCCGCTTCCACAAGTGCACGGCCAGAATCGCCAAGGGGGCGTTCTTTCGTGGCTGAAGAACTTCAGTGAGGAGCCCCTGGACGCACGTCGAGTCGGTGACGATCTGGATGGGCCCGCCGTCCTGGGCCGTCGGCTGCAGGGAGCCGCGCTGTCCCAGCAACCAGAAGAGCGCCTCCGCGATCGCCGAGAGCTCGCCCGTGTTCGCCGCGAGGGCACAGGCGCCCAGGAAGCGGGGGTCCAGGTGGTTGGTGACCACAGGGCCGCACGCCTCGACCATCGGCTCGTCCTGGTCGCGCGGCGTGGTGGTGCGGTAGACGGCGAAGCCCCAGCCTGCGCTAGCAGCCTGGCGCTGTCCACGCCGTCGCCCCCGCGCCGAGCCGTCCGTGAAGATGCCCAGCGCGTTCGCGAGGTCGCCCTCGGTGAAGCCATCCATCGCGGTTGGAAAGTACGGCATCCGCAGAGTCGAGCAGACCGTCTCATTGAATAAGTGGGCGTCCTCTAATGGCCAAGCAACGGGCTTGCGCGGCGGCCGTTCCATCAGGTCAGCGCCCTCGAGGTCGAGCTCGGGTTCGGTGATCGTCGGGGTGGCCTTCGACGCATGGCAGCGTAGCAGCAAGGGGAGGTGATCGCTCTGCTCGGCATCCGTGAAGCTGGCCTGGCACGTCACTGAGGTGAGCCAGTCGCGGTGGCACAGCATGAAGTCGATCTGGCCTGGCTCTTTTTCGGTTGTCGTAATAGCACGTAGCCTGTCCCCACTGTCCTCGGGAGAAGGTATTGGTAGCAACCAAGTCGAATTCAGTCATCAAGTCGGACAGCATGTCGCCCCGCCGGGCCA